TCCCTAAGCTCCACCACCAGGCTGAGAAGCTCGTCCACCTGCTCGCACCTTGCACAAGTGATATATATATAAATACTTGTCATCAGAAAGGCACTTCCATACCCTTATTCCACTTCCAACAGAAATATCTCAGTTCCAAACCTCTTTAAAAATCCTGTAACAACAGTTCTACTTAACATGTTAATGTCACACGAGAGCAGTGCTTCCTCCCTTTCTCTCTGGTTCAGCTTTTCCTTATTAAAGCCTACAGCAGAAGCTTACTAAAAAACACAGAAGCTCCTTGTTTGTTTACGTTTTCCCTCCCAAACTGAAACTCCAGTATTTCATTATTTAGAATCATGCCAGCAGATACCATTTCCCACCATTTAACTGCACAGTAAAAAGGTTTTCATAAAGGTGCATGCAGTGAACTGTACCTCATTTTCGCCACATTCAGAAGGTGTGTCCTTGTGTATAGCCATCTGATACTTGGCAAATAAAGTGGCTGACTGGTTGAAGGATGATTTGAACTGTGGGTCCTCAAAAGAGACACGTACTAACCTCACCTTCAGAGCAAGGAAAATACAAGCATACTGTTTTGAGTGCATATAACCAGGTAATATGCTTCTGAAGGTAAGGCTAGTGGAAGATCTTCTCCTATCCGTTTCAAAGCCTTTGAAGTCAGTATTCTACTGTAAATATAATAAAAAGTAAATCTTCTATGGGGGAAAGTATATGGCAACTAATGCTAACTTAAGCTGACTGCTGATATCTCCATTAAAGAACAAAAATTATATAACACTAGAACACTCCAAAGCACCAGCTTACTCAACCTATTTTTTGACCAACTATCTAACAAACCAACAACAAATTTTTCAATGTACAACTCCAAGAACTATTGAAATGTTTTAATTTCTAGTGGCACATCACTTGACCCCAGTTCAGCTATTACTTATTCTTGCTACGTACACTTTTCCTCCAAAACTCTGAAGTTTTTTTTTTCTTAGTAGTACTTTGAGAAGTAATATGTCCAGCACATAGCTATTACACATTGCCTGGTCATCACAAGAGGTAGTAACAATGTGTAATTTAGACAGAGTAAGTTGATCACTACTTGATGTGCTTGGATGGAAAATGAAGAGGTTTGCATAATTTAAGTGAACCTCAGACTAACAACTTGTGTGTGTGATAACTTCTTCACTCACATGTTGGCCCTGATCATGCTTGCCCCTCCACATATGGATGCATTCAAACCAAAGCCAATGAGACTACTTATCAGGGCAAGCATCCAGCCATATTCAGTTCCTGGCAGATTTATACTTGTATGGTCCATGACATTTTACCTCTGAAGCCTCATCTCTTTCATCTCTTATTCAATAGCAGATAGAAAAGTTGAGAGTTAGATGGCTAGGCAATTAAGACCAAATATTCATAGCACTCAAAAAATAGGTATCAAAGGTTTGCACTTTCAGAATGTTGATTGTACTTGATACAGTATTTCACATACTCCTGAGTGTAAGATGGATATAAAATCCACAATCGTTTCTTCTAGAAGCTATGCAAGACGCATGAAATGGAGGGGAAGCTGAGTTTTGCATAAAATTCATTTGGCCTTCTGACCTGATTTATAGTTGGTTTATCAGGTGGGTCCTTGTGAATAACCATCTGGTAACGTTTATAGACCTGGTAAGACTCCTGAAATGTGGCTTTGAACTGTGAACTTGGCGGAGATGATCTCACCACCCTCACCTTCAGAAGAAGTTAAACATTTATTATTACAGCACCATGCAATAATTACACATTTATAACATATACAGGCATCACAACAGAGAGAATTTTACACTTCCTGAAAAAGAACCCTACCACTTCAATTAATATTAGACAACAGCCTTCCAATTCTTCTACTCACTTTACATTATTGAAGGCTTTTGTATGTAATTCAGTGTAAATGCAAGGTTTTCAAATGATGAACGAACTAAGATGTCTATAGAAGAACCACATAAGTGGTTTTCAGGAACTAAGACCCACAAATGGTAAGCAGACTGACATTTTAAAGAGATTTTTGATACATCTTCAGATCTTCTGTTCCTGTGTTTTCTCATCATACTGAAAAATACTTGAAGGATTCATGCATATGAAAGACTCATCTGTCCTCTTTGGGTAAAGACCACATTTGCATTGCAATGGTCCTGGGAGGATTTCCAGGTATTTTTCAAATTAAAGGAGGAAGAGGAAACAATGTTCCCCTATTCAATTACTAATTAATTTAGTTAGGAAATCGTGCCCTTCCTACCACCACCCTTACATATAAGAAAATAAATTTTAAGAATCCATAAATTAAACTGTTCTTAGTAAAAGTGATTGCTTCCTGACCAAAGGAATGCTATTACATGATGAACAGTGAATTTTCACTATGGTCATTTTAACAAATACCACTGGCTCTAATCTACAAAGAAAAATTTGTCAACAATAGCAAGGAACAATCTGAGAAAAAAAACTGCTAAAATCATTCCCCTTTAAATTCTCCCTGCATCATCTTAATGAAAACATTCAGACAGGGCCATTATACTTGTTAGGTAACTTATCATAAACCTGGAAGAGTTAGCAATTATAGATCAGTTCCATGGTTTCCTGTCAGTTATTTAGAGTGCAATCTTTTAAGTCAGCACCATTTTAAATAAGTACCAGAAATACAATTCAAATTCAGTTTTTAATTCCATCAGTAACTAAAGGAAAATGTACATATTCAGAAAGCTTTCCAGCTTCCAGAGAAAAAAAATATTGTATTTACAATTAACCAGTGTCAGCATGTCCAAAAGCCTTCCAGGTAACTAGTTCTATAGTAAAAATAGATTTAATTGCAACCAATATATTATGCTGGTTTCGACCATAACTTTTACAGTTTCCAAAGACATCAACACATACCACAGACATTTATAAATAAGAGCTATCTTCTCATCTGTTTAGTTTTATTAACAGTTACTGCTTTCTAGCCAAGATTCAGTAGCATAGATAGTTTAACTACTTCTATGCTGCAAAACTCAATATTGAATGTCTCTCATCGTTCAACACTCAGTTAATTCGAAGTCTTTCATTTTCAAGTCACTCAGTATGAAATCAATTTACAAGTGTTTTTTCACTGTACTGCTCTCTTCTACAACTGACTGCAAGTGCAAGATTACCCCCTTGTGGTTACATAAAGCTCAGCTGTACCAAAAATATCACCACGTACCACGTAAATTCTAAGATTTAAACTACAGCCAGTTAATAAAGCCACAGAAACTAAACACCTAAGCATTTGTAGAGTTCCAAAAACAAGACTTTTCTTTAATTTGCCTTCAACAGCAGTGAATGAGCCATTACCTCCAATTTGTGCGGTGCATCATCAGGTAAAGGGACAAAAATGAAGTCTTCAATGCTTTTTGGTTGGTTTGTTGTAGACTTCGAGTTTTGCAAGAGTAAAGCCTGATGTTCTGCTTGAAGTGGAGAGCCTTCAAGGGTGCACCTCTGGTTCTGAAGGAGTTTCTGCAGTTTTCTTTCTTTCCGTATGTCCTTTGCTTTTCGACACGGTGGCTTGCTCAGATCAGCCCCTTTGCCTGTAAGGAAACAAGCAAAGAATTAAACACCACATTGTGCAAGCAACAAGTAGCCCTCACACAATGACTGAAAAGAAATGGTTAAAACTACCAGTAGTTGCAGACCATGGTCTGAATGTAACAAGTCCTTCACATTACAGCTAGTGATAATACCCTGTGCCAAGTGAAATTGCAATGATTTTTTCCTCTGCAGCTTTCTAATCCAGAATCAGGAATATATTTAAAAAGTAGTATAAGTAGAATTCCTCTTAAGGCTGTCCTTAAATCCCTTTCATACAACAACAAAAAGTTTAATACACGATATTATGCTGCCTCGTATCTAAAGAGCAGCAGGATCAGCTTGAAATATTGAAAGGAAAAAGCACAAAACCAAACCCATAACCACAAAACCTCACTGTCAAATTCATAAAGAATTATTCTGCTGCATTAAAGGCACAGGAACTATAAAAAATTAATACTCCACTTAAATCAAGGAAAAAAAGATGCCCGTGGTCCATTCTACCCACAAAATGTGCTAAAAGGACAGTCACCAAATAAATAACCTATTCCCAACCTGCCATTTTTTCCCCACATCTCATGATTTTAATTGATACTGATTTTAAATGCATAAATCCAGATTTCTGCAAGTTTACAAAAACAAGATTTTTTCCCCAACACTCAGTTCTTTCACCTTTACACACCATTATCAGCCACTCCAGGAAGCACAGAGAAGTGACTATCATACTTCATTCCAGAAGCTGTGTTAAAGCCATATGAAGCTGCTGCATTGCTGCAAACAGTGGAAGAATTCATGAATTCTCAGGGAATACCTGCCTGATGCTTGCAGCTGCTGCAGAAAGTTCCATACAGAGGGAAAGCTGCACTCACAGTTGTATTAGCAGCCAGTTAATCCAGTTAATTCTTATAAAATTGACTCTGGTTCTGTGTTTTTATTTATTTTACATACAGTGGTAAATGAGCTGGAAGCCAAAAATAATCCATAATACTAACGATTTCAAAAGGAAAGGAATAATGGAACAAACTAGGCCCACATGGGGAAGCACAGAATCATATATCTTGCACAGAATAAAAACTGTAACAAATATTATGACAAACTGCTGAAGCAGTATTTTACACTATTAGCCTGCTCCTGAAATCCATATATTTGCAAAGGACACACTGGCAACTTCTGAAAGACTTAGTGGGAATGTACCCAGAATGGTGAGGTGCTTTCATTTGAAGCATTAAGGCAACATATTTCCAACTCAGCTAATATTTATGAGAAATGAAGAATTATCCAAATGCAGACTTAACTACGCCTTATCCCACTTCACTCTGTAGGAGGGCTGCGAACTATGTGGAAATCATTTCTTCCAGAAGGCCTAGAAAAATACAGTTAGAGCTTTCTTTCCTTCTCACCAATAACTTTGTGGCCAAAGATGACATGTTTCTTTTGTCCTCTACCCACTTCAAACTTTCCCCATGGACAAGGGCAAGCAGTTGCATCCTTCAGCAGACTGGAAATGGTAAAAGAACTGGTGAAAGGCTCACAACGTGCTTAGGTTCACTTCATCTGCATAGAACTTCAGCCTTCAGAGTCACAGGTTCGTCTATTGTTACCAATACACCACAGAAATTGTCAAAATACTTCCTACTGGAACCAATTTTCAAGCATCAGTAAAGCTGTAAACTATTCTTTCTAATGCACATACCATACAGAATGTGATGGCTTCACTCACTCTGGGCATATCTGTTTTCAACAATACTGAAAAGTAGTATTCTATTTGAAGGATAAAACTCTACTTTATCATCTTTGTTTTTCCTGGCGCATTTTACAACAAAGATGGTTAAAGAAAAGAATGGTCACCTGCCTTTTTCCAAGATGTACATTAATTATTTTAATTGAACCCCAAGCACAAGCTCTAGTTAGAGGTACAACATAAGTTAGAAACGAGAGATAACAGTTTTATGAGAGCAAGATAAAAGGAATAGCAACTGAACTAAGGCAAGCAGATTTTACTCTTAAGCCCGAGAAAATTATTTGTTAACATCTTGCTAACTGCTTTCTAGGACAAAGCACACTGCATTTGGTTGCATCAAACCAACAGCTCAGACCATGGAGAATGATGAATTAGCTTGGAGAAGAGAAGGCTCCAGGAAGACCTCCTTGTGGTCTTTCAGAACTTGAAGGGAGTGTATAAACAGGAGGGTGAATGGCTGTTTACAAGAGTGGATCATGATAGGACAACAGGGAATGGTGTTAAACTGAGAAAGGTTAGGTTAGATATTAGGAGGAAGTTTTTCAGCCAGAGCGTGGTGAGGCACTGGAACAGGTTGCCCAAGGAGGCTGTGGATGCCCCATCCCTGCAGGCATTCAAGGCCAGGCTGGATGTGGCTCTGGGCAGCCTGGTCTGCTGGTTGGCAACCCTGCACACAGCAGGGGGTTGGAACTGGATGAGCATTGAGGTCCTTTTCAACCCAGGACATTCTGCAATTTGTAAATGCCACACGGAGACTTAGGAAAGGGATGGTTATCTCAACATATACAGCTACCATTACCAGAAGTGCAGCGAGAACTGCTCAGAACTTACAGGATCCATAAAACTTTCATAGTACTACTGTCTCAAGTGCACAGCATCAAGATTCTGTTTTGGATATGGACATATAAAAACAGAAAGAACAAAGAACACCACCTAAACTAAAACAAACAACAGGACGCCTACACATAAACACTTTCTGCAACCTATAGGTTACATTTGTACCAATGTTTCTGGTTCTCATTTAAAGACTCTCTGTGAGAGCCATGGAAAACTCTTGAAAACAGTTTATAAGTACAATGCTGGTGCAAGCTCCTCAGGGCTCACCCAGACCATCTGTTCTGTGTGGGCTCCATGAAAGCTGAAGTGCTGAGAGCATTTCAGAAATAAAGTTAATACCATTCCTGCACCCCTCAGACTTCCTACAGATGAACAAGCAGATTGCACCCGAGCATCCTTACCTCTCACCTACTGTCTTTGGATATTTGTCTCATTAAGACAAAAATATTCACCAGAAAAGGACAAATATCCTGAGACCATTACACATGTTAGATGATCTGACCAGGGATAAACAAGTCAGTGGATGAGTTTATTTAAAATACTCATGATAAATCTGAAGAACGTTACAGCACTTCATCTGCCTTGGGCTCTGTTTCATGTCTCATATCTTCTATAAGCTATAAGTTAGCTAGAAAAACTTTTTAAAACAATGGATGTGCATGCAGACATAAGCAAACCTCTCTCATCTGAAACTGTGCAGAAACAGCCCATTTTTTCCTATAGGACAATGACCTGTTTATAAAAGAATAAAAATGCAATTAAACAATCTTATTACAGAATAAGTCTACATTTTCCAAGATGAAAACTAAACATCTCTCTATCTGGAAAATTTTGAACTAAATTTGACCTGGCACACCACGTACTCAAAATAAAAAAAACTTCTGATGAATTTATTATTGCCTTTTAATGAATATTTCTCCTCTATAAAATTAACCCTCTTTTTCTGAAACACTCAGTAAAAACAACGTTTCAAACTTCCCTCATCTGCATTTGCAGCATTTAAAGTTACTCGGTGTTACTGACATAACTGAAGACTGTTTTTTCAACCCCTTCCAAACCAGCTCTCATTACCCAAGACTGCCACCTGCTGTCCATTTCTACATAGTTTGTTTCCAAAATGAAGTTCACATGACTCAAAGCTGATTATTTTAAAAACAAGAGGAGCTTGGAAATTTGCACGGCACAGCTACATGGTCAAACTAAAATAGAATCTTGAAGATTCCAGGCAAGCTTCCTAGGAAATTGCATTAGTTCTGTGTTGCACTGCTGGTTTTCTGGCCAAGCTTTCCTTTCTGTTCAGGTGCAAAATCGCTGCTGAAAACCTGATGTTGGTATGGGTGATTGTTCACATTCTTTTGAAGTGTCAGCTTTGAAAGGAGTCAACACACAGGAGGAGGCAAAGTCTTTTGAAAACAGAAGTACTGTGAAGCTCTCATTAACACCAGCACAATACATAATAGGTGAAAATTAGGAATTAATATGATGACCCAACATATGCAGAAACCACGAAGCATCCACTTCTCACCAGGATTTCAACCAATTTCAGCCATGCTTGTTAGTCCACATGCAACTGCAATCCAGAAAATACCCTTTATGTCTCTGAATCATTTTGGAAACTGCAAAATTGAAAATGTAACCTGCAAGATGAGGCTGCCTCACCTGCAACCCTTGGCCCGCAAAGCATTTATAAGATGCATCCACTTCCTTCTCCCACTCAGGCTGTTACTGAGATGACTTACACTGACAATAATCCACCTACCTCTTACCACATCCCACAAGAACAGGGCATACAAGAAGCTGCAAGAGTGGCAATCCACAGCACTCTGCATGAATGCCCCAGCAGCAAAACTTCTGCCACAGTCAGAAAGATTAAGGCAGGGGAAGGGCAATAGAGGAGTGTAACAGCAAAGGGACCAGCGCAGATAGGATGGCATATCAAAGGAAAAGTAAAGGTGCTCACCTATCTCTGAAGATCTAAGCTTGCAGGAAAGACTCCACACAAAGGAGGGATCTCCAACTGGAGAACCTTCCCCAGTGGCAGCCAGCCCTTAAATGGGGTCTAAGAGAGATGCAGCCAGGCTTCATCCCTTCTGATCACACAGCTGAATTGCCTTCACCTGTGCTCCCAGGGCTGACCAGGTCCTTTCCTCAGGTGCTCAATCAGTGGTTCAGGCCATGACTCAACAGTTACCACACAAATTCCCAGCATTTTCTTTTTATCCAATGACCCTCAAGGACTTCTCTGCAAGTGCAGACAGGGCCATGGCACACAGTATACCAGCTGTGACACATGGTGCTAACAGTTAAGATGGTCAAGATTCAAGGTTGCCCTACTTAGTACACACACTTACCATACTTCCTTACAGAATTGTAACTCTAAGTTCACAGTAAAAAAAAAGGTAGAAATTATTACAATTTTAAAGTTTCATATCTGCTTATGACATTGCCAGTTATCCAAAATCAAGAACAAGGCAAGCTGCTAAACAGATGAGAAATCAAAACTAGGAAACAGAAGAACAGTATCTGTACTTTTCTTTCCCCCCCCAGGAAAGCTATGTAATTTCCTTAAAGCACACATCATTAGACTGGGTGTATTTCTAGTGCCAGTCAGGTCTACAGCAAACAGGCTATGAAAACATAATACAGCCTTAAGCAAGTTGTTAGTGGAGTATAATCATGGGGTGTACACTTTGCATAACAAGACAGCCTACAGACACAAAGAAGTGTAAAAACAATACTTACTCTTATTAGATCTCCAACTAGTTTCCCACTGCTGCACAAGGAAACCATGTTAAGCCCTAACCTGACCCCGCAGCTAGCACTTTTGCAGCACAAACACACCTCAAGGTACCTAAGTCTGAGTTGCAGCATCCTCATAGGAGAAAGGGAAAGCTGGACTGTATGCATCTTTCTGCACACAAAAATATCCAAACTGGAAATAGATCCCAATGTCTGATGATATTCAATCACCTTGACATATATGACCACAATCTACACAGCTTTCAAACATCACAACTGTCAATTGTATATAGGTATTTTCAGTAACTACACTGGAAAGCTGAGCATGATGGAAAACAATGCAACTTCCAGGAAAAACTACAAGTAATATGCAGCATCTATCAATACACATGCTATGATTTCATAAATGGGCAAGGGTATATAGAACAAGAAACAACAATTTCCTGAATTATTAGGCAAGATAAAAAAGAAAAAGGATTTTAAAAACCTGCAAGTAATGAAAACATGTTCCAGTTACTACCAGAAACCTAACTACCTGGCTTTGGTGGTGCATGAACAGTTTTAGTAGAAGGTGATGGTTCTCCAGGGACTGCTGCATCTTTATCTCCATGTATCTGAAGAGAAGCCAACTCTGCCTTCTTCACATTGACCTCTTCTTTTGTTTCTCCTTTGTCCTCATCTTCATTCTCCACTCTGTCTGGGTGATCCTCATTTAACGGAGTCAGTTCAGCCTCACTGACACGAGATTCACCTCTATGTACAAAATCACATGAGACTGCATCCTCTATATGGGAATCCATAGGCTCTTCTGTAAGCAATTAAAAATTGCATGAGTTGATTTATTTCAGTGTAACCACAACTCACACCCTGCACAGTTAACATCAAGATCAACTTATTTCCAATTTTGCAACTGTTTTTGCAACAGATGCATCTGGAACAGCCTGAAAACGGAAAGCTTTTTGCCAGTCTTACTAGCATCATCTTATAAATAGGAGATTTATTTTTTCCAATAGAATTGGGCAGTCTCCACTAATTTCACACTTCAAGTCCCCTTAGAAGAGGGAAATCATGTCTCAGAACTGACACGACAGGTTCCATCATAATTGGAAGTAGCTGTTTTTGGTGATGGATAAACAAAGTGTCATCTCCCAGTCACTTGGAGGAAAATCCTTCTTCCTGTTTCTCCTTTGTTTCCACTGTCCTGCTTGGTCATCTCCAGATTATCACATTTACAATAGCTAACAACAGTCTGATTCTCTACAGTGTCAGCTACAAAGCAAGCTTGTGTCTACACATAAAACTGAAAATACACTGGTACATGCAAAAAGCAATGAAATATCCTCCACTGGACCAAGGCAGCTGCCACAATTTGTTCTCTGCACTGCATTGTGCCCTTGATTCAAAATACTGTAAAGACATAACCTAGTCAGGCATTTAACAAAGGGGACTGCATGCAGAAAAAAATAAAACAAAACAAATCACACTGATGCCATTCAATCATTTGGTCAGCAACATGATCCTCATTTCAGACATCAGTCTTGCTTTTTCCAAATCTAGGAGTTTCTTACCTTCACTCACTGCTTTTGAAACATCTCCTTTAGAAATGAATTTCAACATTTTCTTCAGAACTTTCTTGTGAGATTTGGAGGTCTGAAAACGCAGTGCCTGGCATCTTAAAAAAAAAGTTATGACTGCTTCATATATTTCTTCAAAATATAAGGAAATCTATGAAATAAGTGGCCAAATAGTTTATCAACACTTTTGATCTGATAAAATTACGCTCTCCTGTTCTCTATTATATCATTATTATGCAATACACACACATTCAGTAATCACAGAAGTATACCACTGTGACCTGAAGCACTACAGAAAGAAAAGTTCTCCCTAGGAGGCCAACACACTAGGAATTTTTAATATAGTTATCTATAGACACAACGTTGAATCTAACCACTAGCATATGCAGAAAAGCATATCTAGAATCATTTATACCTATTCCACTGACAGTCTCTTTTATTTGGGCTTCTAAAGCAACTTTGGAGAGACAAGCATTTTGGTTCACCTGCATCAAACAAAACAGCAGTCACTGAACTCCTGCCTTGGACTGAAATGCAAAACAAAAGGGAAGGGAACAAACTGCATACAGAAGAACATTACAAAGCCAATGATAACATCACAGAGTTACCAGTGTGCCTGTGCACAAACCCAATGGAACATACTCGGTAAAATGAAAAGTAGATGAACTTAAGTCCTGCGTGTTTAAGCCAACAAACATAATGGTTGCACACACTTTAAATGGTCAAACCACTTACAGTACTATAACCCAACTCTCTTACCTTATTGTGTATTGAGGACAACATGTTTGATTCATGATAGGTTTGTAGACGTATTTTCCACTCCTAAAAATAATAATAAATACTGCTTTTCATCATTGTTTTATCTTACAACATTAATGTTAACCAACATGTTAGCAACAAAATCTTACGCAAATAATATCAAAAGCAGAGAAGGAAGCTCCACAGCTCCTTGCCATTATATTAACATATTACCCATCTAGAATAAATAAATTTTAATTAACGAAAGTTCACCAGAGAGCACAACTAAGAAAAGTGTGTCGCATCTAGTGTGCTTTCTATGTATCAGAATAATACCCTAGATTCTCCAGCACATTCCCACCTGAACATCCACACTTACTTCCAGGAACTAACTACAAGCAATGTAACAAGAACTCCCTGTAACAGAATGGAAAGTGCCGTAATGATAGCACAGAGTAGCCAAGTCCCAGGCTGCAGCAAATAAGCATATGCTAAAACACAGCACCCATGGACACAGAAACAAAGGAGACTGCTCGCTCTTGGAAGGCCTCAGTTAGGCAGGGTTCTCCAGCAAGATACCTTCCTCACCTCCACTGCTAACCCTTAAATGAGGTCTGGGAAGGGGTGGGTCACGGCTTCAGCCCTTCCAGTCACTCAGGTACATTGCATGCACCTGAGCTCCCCTAGGTTGGCCCTGCCTTCCACCAGGTGCTGTGACTTCACATTTCCACTACACTCCCCTTGCATACATGCTCTTTCATTTCTGCTCCTTACTCTGCAGGCATAAGCTCCAATACTGACAACAAAATACCTATCATCCACATACCCCTAAAAACAGACTTTAGGAAAAAGAAAAGTAGTATTTTCTGTGGTCAAGAGATTCTATTAGAAAAGGAGAGCAAAAGGAGAACGAATCTAAGCTGGTGATGTTTTGGTATCACTTTATGTTTACCTTCGCCATCCTCTATCTATGAGGTCCTGGTAATCTTGAACTGTCATTGAATGTGCCCACATACCTGAAAGAAACAGTGACACACTTGATTGGCAACGACAACTACCCTTTAACACATTAAGATGTAACAAGTTCTACAGAAGTAGAAGTTACTCAGAAGTTACATAAAACTAGACAGCTAACACAACACCAACAGATGTCTCTCAAGGACATGGCTGTATGTGAATCTCATCAGCGACTAAAAGACGGCAACAAGTTTTCCTCTCCTTCCATTCCTTCCCCTGGGGCTGGGAGCGTGCTCACCCAGGGCTGCCCAAACAGAAATGCTTTAAGCTCCCAGCCTTGCCATGAGGATAAGCTGCCTTTCTCTAAGGAAGTTACCTGGGAAACACGAGGTTTTAGCTTCCTTAAACACAGCCATGCCTAAACAAGCGGGCTCCCTCTGTTACTCGAAGGGCACAGCAACCTGTAACTTCTGCAGGCAGCTACCAAACAGCAGCACCTGACCTGACTCGCAGCAAAGAGTCTAAGGAGAAGGTCCCGAGGCCGGGCATCACTGCCAGCACGTAAGAGCTGGACGCGGCCTGTCGGCGCTCTCGTGCCCCAGCGCAGGGCACGGAGCCGCAGGGACGGCCCTCCCTTCCCGCGGCCCCCTCAGAGCCCGGCCCGCTCCCCGCCCGCCCGGCCCGCACCGTGGGAGAGGTTGCCGCTCTCGTTCTTGCAGTAGCCGCAGCGGTACCCGTCCTCTCCCCCGAAGTACTCGACGATCGTCGGCGAGCTGCCGGCCGCCGCCATGTTCCCCGACTCAGAGTAGCTCCCCGCCGCCCGCCGCCTCACACCGCGCTCCGCGCCGCCCGGAAGCGGCCGCCGCCGCCATCTTTGCTGCGGGCACGGCGCGGGGCGGAGCCCGCCGGAAGGAGCAACCCCGCCATCTTCACCGCGCTTCCCCGCCGAGCTCCTCCATCTTTAGTGAGGGCGGCCGCGCTCCCACAGCGGCGCGGCTCCCGGCACCGGCCCCGTCCCGCATCCCCCCGCTCACCGGCGGAGACTTTCCCCTGCGCCGACGCGCAGTAGCCGCAGCGGTAGCCCTCCTTCCAGCCGCGGTACTCCACCACGGCGCGGCGCATGGCGGCCCGGCTCCACCCGGAGCGCCGCCCCGCCCGCCTCAGCGGCACCGCCAGTCCCTGAGCGCCTTTTGTCACCGCAGTCAGCTTAAAGTACCCCGATGTTTGAATAAAAATAAATTTAATATTACAATATACACAGATAAAATCTTAACTGAAGAATACATTTTTAAGTAGCTTTCTTTAAGGCACCTAGAGGGAAAAAAAAAAAAAGAAGTATTAAGATATAGAACTTACCACAGAGATTATAATAGAATAATTCAGTGCCATTGTTTAAAGGATGTGGGAGGAACCAGACAGGCTGAGCCCTTCTCAGACTACTGTTAACCAGCTCAGCTGTCAGTATGTTAGAAGAAACACTACAGAAACTACAACGTGATTCTTCACAGCATAACATTTCAGGAGTGCAATTCAATGTAACATTCCACAAGTGAACCACCATCACACATGAACTTGTCAGTTAATTACCACATAGACAACTAGACGACCCAGGAAGAGATCAAGAATGTAAAAAGCCAGGATGTCACACAATTACTCAGCCTGTAGTGCTTCTACATATATCACACGTTTCCCTGCAATTCCTCCACGTGCAGAAAGACATCACACACTGTATCTTCTAGTTCCTAAGTATCATCTTTAAGCTCCTAAGTTTAGTATCCTTAGTACTAAGAGAATTTACCTGAACAATTAAGCTGTCTCCATTTCATCTTCAATGCTATCAGGAGGGCTGATCATAGGTTCTGTTATTTCATATGTTTCTACAATTTCCTAGTTAGAAATGACAGAAAAGTAAGTGAGTTACAGGGCTGAACTATTTAAATACAGCTGCAGTTATCAACAGGTGTAAATGAAGTTTCTCGTACTAAAGCACTATTTTGAATGCCTGTTCTGGTCATTCTGAGGAGATTTTATCTGCTAAGAAACTTTTTATAAAAAAACAGTGAGGAAAAAATGTACTTCCCCTCTAGGAGCAAATATCACACACAAAGGGAAATAATAAATTGTGTGATTACGCAGTCCTCACAAAGTAGTAAAAACAAGTCATTAAAGTCAAAAGCACTTAAACTGGCAGGGCTTCATTGGTTAAAGATGAAACTGCCATCCTACTTCTTCATTTTTTTGGGGTTAAAAATATTTGTGATTGTGCTTGAATCCATAAAATTAAATGCAGCAATAAATGAAACAGTAATAGTAACATATGAACATTCATCCTCATTTGAGTAATAAGAACACAGTTCTCAGAGATATTCTCAAACTTCAGGGAAAATGAACCAAAGTTATCAAGCATTATACCCTCCATTCTTCATGGCTCAGGGAAATGACAACTTGGTTCCGTGCTCGAGTACTGTGGTCATCATTTCTTTCTTCAACGTTCTGTACAGGCTCTGTTCAAAATATTGTATTTTCATTATCTTTACAGTGTCCTTCAGGAACACAAAAGCTTCACAAAGATCAATATCACTAACGTGTACTCCACTAGATTCCTATCTAACAGTAGCCTGTACTATATGCTGCCTAGGAAACTACTCTAGTCTTAACTCTTTAAAATTTAGAAACTAACTTCTTCCATCTTCCCAGATGGATCTGGGTGTTTTTATCAAATCTCACCAAGTCTTAATCCCATCGATACCCTGTGAGAATGGGAACTGGAGACCCCATTCATACCATTTTCTTTCCAACTGTTTTAAATCTGCAGCACTTCTCATCTTGGATAAACAAAGGAAAATATATTTTTTCCTCAAAAGTATGTGCATACTGCTATGCTATCAAGCAAAATATCACTTCGGAGGTAGCAGAATAACCTTTTATTACTAGTAATTTGTGCAAGTTGCCATAACAGAAGTTTTCCATATTTCTACATTTAAAGAGTCTCAAACTTCTCTATTAGTCTTATAAATCTCTTCATGCCTTCAGTTACATTCACTGCTTACCCCCAAATTTTTGCTCTTTCAGCTACACATCTGTAAAGCTTTGTGAACACATTAAGATATTGCTACTTTTCAATGTTATGACAATAAAAACAGTTCTTTAAAGCTAGACTTACATACCTATTACTGGCAATTTATCATCATCTAGCTTTATTCTTGCTAAACCATCCTAAAAACAAAGTAGGATTGAAGATTTCAGATGTTATAATGCAGTGATATGTATAAATAGTCACTATTTCAACACTACATCATCATGAACATGCATTAATAATCCTAATTAGCGAGCAGTAGGAATATATTTAGTTACTGTGCTTACAAAAGAGAATGCAGTAAATACTGACATGTAATAATTCTTTAATACTAACATATGCATGCTTGAACTCTTGTTTGAAAAGAGCAAAAGCAAACATTTAACCATGGTGAAACTGGCAGCAATAGCAAGAAATATCAGTACAAAAATAGTCTATTTTCTGTTTTATTCCATTTCCAAAATATCATAGAGTGTTCATGGAAACCTAATCAGGAATTCTAATATTTAAATCCTATTATTTCAATGTTACACAAAACAAAAACAACAAATCAAGATTTCCATGCAATTCCAGCATCTCAAGTAAGATTTCAAGAACTTGTCTTGCCTTACCCTTACTATGAAGGACACATGGAAGATGTTTTCCACAGTGCGCGCAAAGGAGTTTGGATCAACCACAAGATCAAAGAAGGAAATAGGGGTATGAGCTGGCAATGTCAAAATGGTTTAGTTAAAACAACAACAACAAAAACAAACAGCTGATACCTGCAGAACTAATACACAAACACAAGTTAACAGCATTACTCACTTTAAAAACTAAGTCAATGCTTACAGTGACTTAGCTATAATACTGACTTCACAACTGTATGCATACAGAAAAAGGTTTCCAGAGAATATTTCATTCCATCTTTTGGCCCACATATACACACGTGTGTACAGACCAATTTTTAGGTACACCGCATTTGATTTACCTCTTAAAAATAAAGACACAGCTTAAACTGACTTTGCCATCAAACAGGTTGTGGAATCTGTTTCAAGAGCTGGATGCGGTCCTGGGCACCAGCTCCAAGTGGCTTTACATCAGTAAGGAGCTTGGACCAGATGACCTCTACAGTTCCCTTTCAACCTCAACCTTTCTTTGTCTAAAATGAAGCCTCAACCAATCAGATTTCATAAAGCATACATAGTCAGTACACGACCTTCAGAATAAACATTTCTATGTATCAACTCCACCTCATTTTGCTTCTGTAGTTTAACAGCTCTTAGCTGTGGAAGATAAAAGTACTCAGTCTCAAATTGATGCTATAAAAGCTAAATTGAGTCATACTTACGATCATTTCTAAAAAGAGTCTGTAACAACCTCAAGATCCTCTCCACTTCTTTTGCTGTGGCTTCCTGATGAGACTCCTCCATTTTTTTTAACTGTTATAAGACAAGAATATGAAATTGACCTTTTATGAACTCATTATGTAACAGATAGCATTTTCTCTGTATCACACATACAGCTACAGATGCTCATGCAAGCATCTGAGAACTTACAAAGTGATTTAGGAATGAATTCCCATTGTACAGCATAAGCAGTGAACTTTCAGTTGATATGTTTTCAGAGCAAAGAAGTTAATTTGTCTTGTCTCTTCGGATGACTACTGTCCCAGGCATTTCAGTCTGGAATATGGCCAACCACACAAATGAATTGGTTGGCAAACAGAATACTCATCATCTTTTTTACTTTTCTTTTTTAATTCAATCAATTCAACCTCCTTCCTCTTTGAGAAGTACCAACATCTCACAAAGATGCTAAAGAATCTAAGAAAAATGCTTCCTAAATATACTATAAGGCTTGCAAAATCACAGTAAGCTGGAAATTCTCACTCTTCATAAGACATTTATTAACATCCTTCTCTCTGAAAACTGAGAAAAAAAAACAGCATTCTCTGCTGTATTTTGACACAGTTCTGTGGGTATAACTGGGCATTTAACACCTTCATCAGCCGTAATGCCATACAAGCTCCATTTGTCTTTTTATGATTTTGGAAGATCCGACAGTCACTCACTGTAATTATTTCTTATATTTATACAATGTTTTGAAAGACCATTCTTGGAAATGAATCTTGGACAAAAACTAGAAACGAGCAGGGAAAATGAAAATAAACAAGCAGTCCATAAATCCTACTTCATTCCACTCAGTTAATGAGATGCTGTAGTCCACACAAAACAAATTAGGAGGCATACCAGTAAAGTCTGAATCTTTTAGTGTGATACAGGTAAGAGTTACACAACAATAACAGAAAGATTTATATGTCACTTGAAATTATTCTGTTATAACAAGTCATTAATAAAGAAAGCAGTGCACAAACCTGAGCAGGCATTGCCCGTTTTCCTTCCCCTCCTGGAGCCTTTCTCTGCCTCTCAATCCGCTGCCTGGGTACAGGAGGTTCAGACTTGAAAGACCCCAACCTAGGCAGAATAAAAAAAACATATATGTGTATGGGAACTGCTGAATCACAGCCTGAACCACTGATTGAGCACCTGGGGAAAGGACCCCCGTCAGCCCTGGGAGCACAGGTGAAGGCAAATCAGCTGTGTGACCAGAAGGGATGGAGCCTGGCTGCACCTCTCTTAGACCCCATTTAAGGGCTGACCTGAGATTAAACTCTACTCAAGCCCAGGGCATTAAAGATAATTAATCAGAATTAACACCACTTAGGGTTGTTAGCTTGTGCTGCAATAAACTTACATGTAATGAAAAGAAGGTGCTCTCCTGAAGTACTTTTCTGCTTCTTCTCCCAGCTTATACCAGGCATTACTAGGTAAATAGCCACCTGACATGCTCTCAGAATCGCTATCGTTTCCCTCTGTTTCTGTGCGATTTATACCCATGAATGTCAGCTACAAAAGGAAAAAGAAAACTGCAATGAGAATTCTTATCAAGAAAGATGAGTAGACAGACCAATGGTGAAAAACTGTATTAGTGTCTGTCCTACTAAATTACTATTTAATGTCATAGTATAGCAATGGAAATTTGATTTTCCTGAAGGTACAATCAACATAGAAAAAGCACAGACTTGTAACTTATACAGGCAAGTCATGCTATATATACACAGAGGATTTAACATCAGACATTTTCATCTACGTTAGATGACAAAATCCAAAATTAGTGTTTTGCAGTGAATCAATTTCATATAGAAATGAATGAGCTGTAGTTCATCAAACCACTGTCTGGAAAAAACATGGGATGGACTTTAAGAAAATGGAACCTAAATTTAAATCTCATTTCAAGGGATCTTCAGCTTCCAAATATGAATCAATCTAGCATTTCCAAACACTCCACTAGATCCAGAGAATTGTATTTTTCCCCCTTCAAACTTCTCTTTCTTACATTGCAAATGACAGCAGACACTGGAGAATACACATAGCCTCTTATGTTTCTCATTGCTTAGATTATCATCACTCCTAGACAAAGGTCACATGAGTTTCTGCCCTCTAATTATTAGTGGAACAAAAATGGAGTGCAGTGCTTATCCAGTCAATGAAATCAAAACAAGAGTTGACTCCTGCCATAACCCCACTGATTGCAGCAGCAACTCCCCATAAGCTTAAGCCAAGCTTTCAACTAATAGTGATTATGAGCCCCACTATTTCAGTAGCTGCACTGATAAAAGACTCACTGATTTCTGTAAGGAACTAACATGGTAGATCTCCACTTACACACAATGTTTTTGTTTCCAGTAATCACTACACAGCATTAGTAATGCAATGAAAAAGATAACTATGGGTAAATAAAACCAATAATTAACAGTCTTTAAGTTACGTATGGAGCAGGAATGCATTTTGCACTACATCTCACAGTTCTTGAACACCACATACCTCCAGGAAACCTATCATTTCAAATATCATACAACAGTTTATTTGGCCCAACCTTGCATCCCCCAATCCTTCCCCAGGAAACAGCTTTAATAAAGAATTGAAAACGGGGGGGGAAAGAGTGGTGGTATTCAGTGGTATTGTGAAGCCATTCTTCCATCTGGCCACTGCAGAAACAGATAAACTGACATCTCTAAAAACATTTGAATAATACACATGGAACCTTGAGACTACATTCAAAAACACATAAAGCAGCAGACTAAATAAAGAAACTGCTTAGTGTGAAACGAGAACACTGTCTATCAAAGAAAGTGCATGCTTTTAGGGTAGTCTTAAACACTGACTAAACTGTGATAAAGCAGCAGCAGTACAAGAATGGGGAGAGGGAAATGTCTGCATTTGAGAGTTAAGATTTTCACCTACACAAACTGGAAATGCTGAATCCACTGTTTAAAGCAATTAGCAAAACTAACCAGAATGTTAATTAAGGAAATTCAGATGAAAATGGTTATGTCCCATCAGAACTTACAGGTGCTGCCTGACAATCTCAGGCTTTTCTTTTATGATTCTATAAAAAAATAGGGCAAAACCCAAGTCTGGAACTTACCAAATCTTCTGCAAATGTTAGAGAATCAAACGTTGTGATCTCTGAGCGCAACTCATTGGCTTTCTCCTTTCCCAGATTTGATGCCAAGACAAGAAATTGGGCATCCAATGCAGCTTCTCGTGCACAGGAAACTGTTACAGAAGAAAAAGACTGTATGTTAGTAATACACAATTGTCAAAAACATTCAGCATACAGGAGATCCTCAGCGTGGAGCTTTGTAAACCATTTTATTGCAATGACCTCTCATGCAACTACTTACATAATACTCACATTTCCATCAGAAAAGGAAAAAGGAGAGGATGGCTGAACAAGGGCAAGCACAGAGAATGAACATGTCACCTTGTAACAATGAAAAAATGCATTTCATTCTACCTTTGAGGCTTTTTTCCCCTTCAAGTGAAACAAACCCATCTACAGTTATATCTTTTGGGTACTACTTCTGTCCTACATAGTCAAGATAAAGCACAAAGTATTTCTAAGCGCAAACATTACTGTAATTAGATTTTTGTCTCATAACACCTTATTCAAACAATTCCTCTTTAACTTAACATTATGTTTTAATATTTCTGATACAGTACTTGGATGTCCACTTCATTCACTTGCCCTTTTTTGTTTGTTAAAGTATCATCTCCTCACGCTTGACTGTTAATCCATCACCTCTGACGAGGACTACAGAATTTGTTACCTCCACTGAATAGTTGATTGGCTTCCTCCAAAGCTTCTGTCAGCCTGTTGCTTTTGGAACTCAGCATATCCTCACGATTTTCTAGGGGAAAGGACACAAATGAAATCCTAAATTACGTGAACATAGAAGTATCAATACATACTCACACACACCTTAATCAAAACTGTCCTGTTCACACATCACATCTTACCGAAGCTGTGTTAATTAAACACATTTCATGAGTTTTACTCCCAGGTTCCTCTTAGCTGTAGCTAAACACCCATATCTGTGCCAAAGCAGCCACTAAATACTGCTGGGGTTTCTGTGCCACTCACCTTATCCATTTCAACTGAGGACTTCAGGAAACAGAGGGATAAAAAACAAAGGCAAAAAAAATCATGCTTGGTGATTTCTGAATTTCACCAGGTCAAACACAGTTACTTATATATACGTATACATACGATTTAACAAGGCTTTCAGATGTGCAGTTCTTACTTACTGCCATTCTTTTAGGAACACGCTCAGTGCACTGGCATTGACAGCACTTGTTTTTCTTACTTAAGCACAGACTGACCCATCCATAAACCATGCTGTATTCTTTCATAACGGCTCTATACATTCAGCCTGCAGGAAGCAATCAGCACTAGACCTCACTAAGTTTGGCACTGCTTACTAAACCACAGTTGTAATGCCTTACTGAGAAAAGCAACACAGTGCAAACCTCTGTGGAAGAAGCAGAAACACAGACAATTATCTGGAGAGCTGCTCATAGAAATGCTTCAGCTGGCAGGGCACCTTAAAGGCCATCTGGTCCAGCCCTCTGCAGTGCACAGGGACACCCACAGCCCCATCAGGTGCTCACTGCCTCATCTCCTCATTCTGGGTGTCTGCAAAGCTGAAACACCACCACCTCCCTGGGCAGCCTATACAGTGCCTCAACATCCTTATCATAAATATCTTCTTCATTATATCCTGTCTCAATCATGGAATCACTCAAGTTGGAAAAGACCTTAAAGATCATTGAATCTAACCATGACCTAACCATGCTACCCTAAGTCTAACAACCCTCCACTAAATCACATCCCTGAGCACCACATCCAAATGGTTTTTAAACACATCCAGGGATGGTGGCTCAACCACCTCCCTGTGCAGCCCATTGCAGTGCTTAACAGCCCTTTCTGTAAAGAAGCTCATCCTGATATCCAGCCTAAACTTACCCTGGTGCAACTTGAAGCCATTTCCCCTCATCCTGTCACCAGTGAGAAGAGACCAACCCCACTCTCACTGCAATCACCTTTTAGATTTGGAAGAGAGCAGTAAGGTAAGCTTTCTTTTCCCCAGACTGAACAGCCCCAGTTCCTCCAGTCTCTCCTCATAAGAGATAT